ATTGGATTTGACGCTGGAAACGAAGAGGAAGTTGGATATCCCAACTTATTTGAACACGAACAAAAGCCACACGAGCCACAGCCTCAACATCATAGTCAACGTCGAGGAGAGGACCAATGGAACGACCGATGTGAGAAATCACGTCTCTGTTAAGGAACTGGAGAGGAATGCCTCTGATTTGAACCCAGAAAGGAATGAAATTGATAATCGGGGGATTCTCAAAAGGATTCCAGCGCTGAAGAACAAGCATTCTATCGTTGAACGCCCAGGGACCACGACGGATAACCGTCTCTAGAGACTCCTCCGAGGGGAAAATGAATTGAAATTGGTTCCCACCAAGAATACGACCGTGAACCAAACCCGATTGACCCCAAACTCGTGGCATAGAAGCGATGATGGCTCTCAAGTTCTGACGCCGAGGGAACACAGGCCGACCCATAAGAACAAAACGGTTTTCAGCAACAGCATTTGCCACAAGATTCGCAGGAATAGCGACAGGATCATCATCTGCACCAAGATCAATGTCTTGAACTTGTCGTCGAAGATTATCAGCCATTTTCAGAAGAATCAAATAGAAGCGAAGAGGAAACAAAGTAGTGATTGAGAGAACAGAGAAGATTTGGAGAAAATTCAGTTCCAAAGTTCTGCTTTTATAGATCAAGGAAACCGTCAGATGAACATCACGGAGTGGGGAGGGACACTTCGTGGAGATAGAAGCCACACGTTCCGAAGAGAAGGAACTCCCCACTACGCCGGCGCAACCGTTAGAAACCGTCTCAAGAGAGGCGAAGAGAAATAACCGCCAAAGATCGAGAATCGTCTTTAGAGTCGCCATCTACATTATAATTTGTTTTAACTTTGAATTTTATACTTGATTTCCTATCTAAAAACAATTTGATATTCCATTTTCTATCTATTATATATACTACAAGGATGAAAAATATAATTAAATCTAGAAATATAACTTAAATTAAGAGGAATATAAAAAGAGAGTAAAAATAAAATTATTTCTTGGGAATATTTAAGGTTTCATTCTCTCCTTATTGGTCCATTTAACATTTATTTTTTAATTATAATATTTATTTTTAATTAAACCAAATATCATACTTGAAATCCACACTTTACTATTAAATTGTAACTTAAATTATATAACCTTTCAATTGACTATTTGTTTCCTCCATTTAACTTTAATAAACACACTATGAAATATAATTATAACTCCTCTTATTTAATTATTTTAGAATTGTAACTTAAATCATATTTTATCTTATAAATACTCATTTTTACATCCTCCTCCACCATATATGATATTCTCAATATTTTTTTTGTTTAATTTTTAATGTTCTTACATGGGTTGAAAGCTCAATTAAGATATCATTGTAAGAGCTTGATTATATATTTGGTTAAAACTTTTGTTTTCAATTATATTTCTTCTTTATTTTATGTACTTCTTCATTTTTTCATTGTTTTTATACTATTAAATGT